AAACCATTCCTAGCATTGTATCCCAGTGTACAACAAAATATTGTCGGTCATTTTGTTAGTTATATTTTAAGGTAATTGTGTAATGTTTGGCACTACAGGATCATTTTTATTTAACGGGTACTTTAAATGACATACAAGACTTAAAATCAGTGTTATGTTATTTTCTTTAATTATCTTACATCAAGTCAAGTAAAATGCTATTTTCTACAGTTCAGGACATTTCATGATTGAAAATGAGCACCATTTTATAATGGATTGTACACTATACAATGATAAGCGCCTATTGCTGTTCACCTTTCTTTCCGCTTGTCCAATTGATTTCAATACGTTAGATGCTATAGATAAATTCAACTACATTCTCAGGGGAGATAACCAATACAGTGTTCAAATAGGAAAATACATTAAAGAATGTTTCGATCTTAGAGACCACATGTTAGAGAATGGTTAACCTTTATTGTTGCATCATACATATACTCTGTACGTAAGATGACGTTATCCACACATGTATGTAGCTTTGTTAGATCTTTAGTTAAGTTGTAGAAGACCATACAAAAGTCTCTGTACTTTTTTGTTGTGTCAATAAAGAATCATCATTATATTAAGCTATTGGAGAGTGTGCTAGAGTACAAGTTCAACCATCAGTTCTATAAGCTATGTCACAATGTGCACTGCTGCAATGTAAGTTCTCTCAGTCCTCCTTAGCTATAAGCTAAAATAACAGGTGTCCCTCCCAGGGCCTGTACATGATGTGAAAAACAGAACTTCAGTTGGCTGATCCATGCTGAATCTAAGGTCTTGTATCACGTCATAGATTCCTGTTTCGCAGAAGAAGTCCCACAGAAAGTTAACCTCCCCCCTGTAAGTCTCATCACTTCGACAAGGCTGGAGTGTCGGACGGAACGTTATCGCTCCTGACTTGAACTTGATCGAGCCTGCTTGTTTGAAATTCCAGAAATGGCATTTAAATTGCGGAGTAAGAAGCAGAGTGGGTCTGGCTGATAACCGCGCGCTGCAAACCTGTTATCTACGCTTACAGGCAAAACACGGGCAACCGACTGAGAGGATTACAGATAAGAAACCTTCGGGACGGCTGAAAATATCAGGCAGTGACATTGGAAAGGCTTCCCCACAGCTTGTACATGGAAGGTGATACAACAAAACAGCCAGGTTTTAACAGTACATGGTAGAGTCTGGCACTACATGCTAGGGTCTTGGAAAACAGGCTGGTACTACTGACAGGTTTTACATACTGGAAACAGGCTGGTTGTGTATGCTTGTGTCATGCATGTACCAGTTATGTTAGTTGTTGCCATAGTTGTGTAGCTGCTGTAAGGGCTTAACTGTTGGTTTACCAGAGGAAATTGTTGGTCTTACCTTTATCAGAACATTGTTAGTAATATGATAGGATTACACAGTTAGATACGGGTCGTTAACCCCTTATCCAACCACTACTGAGCTTGTAATCACAAGGAGAACACAGTGTGTGCACGTTGTCCTTGTGATGTCAGCACTTATCGTGTACCTGGGTGGTTTGGCAGTTCTGGGGTTGAGAGGACAACTGTAATGGGCTTCAGCACTGAAGGATGGAGACTATGGTGTGGATTTTCCTGCTGCAGCAGCCATCAGGTGTTTTCTTCCCCGCTGAGTCCCAGCTCAGCTAAAATCTGGTGCCCCCTTTTCACCCCCCTAAAACCCATCCACCACCCTTAAACAGATCCACCCCCTATCCACCCACCCCTCTTTCTACCCCCTCCCTGTCCACCCCCCTCGGCTCAGATGTCGGTGGCTCAGCTAGAATTTGGTGCCTCCCTCTCCACCACTATAACAGTAAACTGATCCAACCCCCTATCCAACCCCCCCCCCCGTCAGCTCAGATGTCCATGCCCACATTCCAGCCTGCCTGAGCGGATTAGTGGATTAAGCAGGATTAGCGTTGGGGCTGCTGAGATCCCGGGATCAGGGCAGTAAGCTGGGGACTAGCGGTGCCAGGATGTGGGAAATCCTCCACAGCTCGGACAGCTGCAAACAGCTGACAACCTGCCGACAGACAGACTTTGCCAGTTACCATGGCAACGGGATGTGTGCAGGGGTTGCTATGGCAACTGGCATCACCATGGAAACGTTCTGTCTGTATGGGTCACTATGACAATGGCCTGCTTCCACAAGATCATCTAATGATGTATTAACCAAGAACTTCATTTAGCATGAAAGTTCATCTGTGTTGTTACTTACCCAATTTTAGGGGTTAAGTCCCAATTTTGTACTCTAAGTGTTGGAAGTTAAAGCTCAGTCTTTATTTCACAAGAACTTCATTGATGTGGTCTAGAAAGGTTTTTCTCTGCTCCTCCAGATACAGGCTATTTCAGTGTTTTCTCTCGCTGATCTGTAGTTGTTTGTGAGTTACAGCTTGACGTCAGCCTGTTCCGTGATGTCTCATAGTTTCCAATGTTGTTCCATTGATCTGCTGTCACCAGAAGCAGGTTTTATCGTGGATAATGTGTGGGTGATAGGAGTCAGTCTGTTCCGTGATGTCCCAACCTTCCATAGTCTCCAATGTTGTTGTTCCATTGATTTTGTTGGCTTTTATCTTGTATAATGTGTCTGTGATAGGAGTCAGAGGTGCTGTTAAGATAAGGACAACAGGACCCGAGGCTCGGCTCACAATGGAGCCCCCTTCCCTATCTCACTCTAAGGCAGGGAACACAATAGAGACTCCCTCTCCTATCAGCTCCTACAATAGAGACTCCCTCTGCTATCAGCTCCTATCTCTGCTGCATTTCTGATGTCCCAAAAACTGACCCACTTTGAATGGAGCCTGGATTGTAGCTGCCGTGTTCCATCCACGTCAGGATGGGTTTTATTACAGACACGTCAGAACAGTTTTTATGGAACCTGCAGGAGTCGGAACACCTGCCGCGACTCATCACACCTGAGTGTCTCCTGCAACACCTGAAGTGCCGGGTCGGGTGGTGTAGCGGTAGTGTGTTCAGCACAGGACCAAGAGGTTCCAGGGTTCGAATCCTACCCATGTCAGTGATCTTGTGCCCTTGGGAAAGGCACTTTACACGACTTTCAGGTGGAATTGAGTACCTAGCTTCGGTTAGGGACGTCCATCGGATAGGATGATAAATGGAGGTCCCGTGTTTGAGGAGAGCCACACCCCACGCACATTAAAGAACCCACCGCACTTACCAAAAAGAGTAGGGGACCTTCCCGGTGTGAGTGGTTCAAACCTTACAGTCCTGTCTCATGCAGCTTGTACTTACATGTATAATTGAACTGGTGTGTTACGCCTAAAGGCGGTTTACCGGTTATGCGAAACAAACAAGATGTCATTATAAACCTTGGCTAACTTACCGACAGCCAGGACAGGTGTGTTAGCACACAGGCAGGTGTTTAAGTTGGTTTTATCTTAATTGCACCACTTAACGAACAGTGTTGGAAGCATTTAAGGTAATTGCTGGTGCTTCTTTAATAGGTGATAAGTCTGTTCGCTGGCTGGTTTGTCTATTGTTGAGTCACCAGCATATCTGACTAGTGTTATCATCAACACACAAATGTTATCGGACTGAAGCCATTGCTAACTGTTGGGAAAAGTTGATAATCAAGAAGAGAAAATAGTTTTTGACACTGGGGAAGTTGAAAACGACAGTCAAAATACAGTCGTAAACACACACTTTTATCTGATGGATTACATTGTGCCAAAAGAGTTCATTTTGCCATAAGACATTAATTTTGTGAATCTTGACTGGTTCCTGATAATCACAATGTCTTTAATATGCTGCGTATAACAGAAAGTTTATTGCAAATACATGCCCCAGGGCTAATTGCAGTTACAAACATGTATGAAAAAAGAAAATACAAGGGTATATCATTACGATGAGTCACAGTGACTCATTACCGACCTTATTCACTTCCCATCTGTCCAAACGACTTTTCCTCGTTTCTCAACGTTTCCTCACTTCTTGGGAGTCTGGCCAAAATCAACCCCTGCAAACGACACCCGCGTTTTTCACCCATGTTTTTCTGCGGCTGAGCAGGAAGCGTTTCAAGTTTCTTATCTCCAAACAACCTGACTGAGGTTACAAATATGCGGAAAACTGAACTGCCTTCCTCATCAAATAAAGACTAAGCTTTAACTTCCAACACTTAGACTACAGAAATGGGACTTACCCCAAATTTTCTGCCTTCCTGTCCGACCGATCAACTTTCAAACCATTTTGGCATTTAAGTGCAACGGTATTGTTCTACTGAAAATCGTCCAGCTGGTCCTGAATCACTTTTAGGCTCACCTCAAACATAAGCAGCCAATTATCATTAAACCATCCAAGTTTATTCCCTCTCCTACTTCTTTCAATTCAAATGTTCCTGCAGCCCCAGAAAACTGAGAAATAAAATGTCTGCGAAGACCAATATCAGCTCACCTGACAATGGCTTAGTTCTGGTGCTCACAGTGTACATTTTGTTATCTAAAGATTCATTTATTTGCCCTGTTTATCAACAGTCCTGTACAAATCCCTGATCTCAGAAGTGGGAACAAACTAGATAAACTTACTGAAACAAGATAACTACAGCAGTAACCGATATTCCTGGGGCGGCTGAACTTGAGCTTGAGTGAATGGAGTCGTCAGATTCCTGCTAAAGCCTGGACAAATTACCGGAAACGGTTGGAGGGAGCCGAACCACACGTGTCTCCTGTTATCCCTGCAAACCTGAGGCAGGGCAGGTATTATTAAAGCTGCACCTAAAGCTGGACTAAAGCTCACATGTGGCGCAGAAAGCAGGGATCCAGCCGGACTCAAGCCGGACTTACAGAACATGTGGCCAGCAGGATCGGTTCTCTGGGATGGATTCCTCAACAACATAACCTGTAAACTCTAGGCAGGAAAGGCAAAACTCTGGAATTAGGCAGGCTTAATCTGCAGAAATGCAAAACTCTGTACCTAGACAAGCTTTCTACAGAAAGGCAAAGCTTAAGTAATGACCTTTTCTCCTTTCATTGCAGGTGAACCGGCCGTTGGCCATGAAGAAAGACGGGATCCAGACCCGGAAGAGAAAACCCAAAACTCTGAACAAGGGGAAGGGAGGACAGGGGGACAGCAAGCCTCCGACCAGCACCAGTAATAACACAGGTATGTTACCTAGCGCTACATGTATGTACCTAGCACTACAATGTACCAAAACTCTGAACAAGGGGAAGGGAGGACAGGGGGACAGCAAGCCTCCGACCAGCACCAGTAATAACACAGGTATGTTACCTAGCGCTATATGTACTAACTAGCACCAGTAATAACACAGGTATGTTACCTAGCGCTACATGTACTAACTAGCACCAGTAATAACACAGGTATGTTACCTAGCGCTACATGTACTAACTAGCACCAGTAATAACACAGGTATGTTACCTAGCGCTACATGTACTAACTAGCACCAGTAATAACACAGGTATGTTACCTAGCGCTACATGTACTAACTAGCACCAGTAACAACACAGGTATGTTACCTAGCGCTACATGTACAACTA